GGACAAGTGATCGTATACGGCAGGAAGGTGCCAGTTCCTAGACAATGCAATGGCACCGCGCACTGGGAGTTTGACGAACTTGTCCATTCTTTTGGGCCGGCTGATTACATTACATTGGCGTCCAACTACCACACCTTCATTATCGACCATATCCCTGTGCTGACTGTCTCCAAAAAGAACGAAGCAAGGCGATTCATCACATTTCTCGATGCACTGTACGAGGCGAAATGTAAGCTTTTGATCAGAGCGGAGGTTGGTCCCGACGATCTGTTCTTCCCCGATATGCGCCGGAAAGTGAAGACCATTCAGAAGGACGGTTCAATCCAGGAAGTTGTCAACGAGGACGCGACATACTCAGAAACTGTGGCAGAGGTCTTTCAAGACCAGGTGTCACCTTTCCGACCAAATATTTCCACATATGCAGACTCGCCAAATGCCAAATACGACCCGGACCAAGACTCGGATTTCGGGCTCGAGAAGAAGGTCGACTTTGTCAACACGGGAGCGTTTACCGGAGAGGATGAGCGCTTTGCGTACAAACGGGCGGCGAGCCGGCTATGGGAAATGTGTAGTTCGCAGTGGCACAGCAGGACTGGCGACTGGTGGCAGCCCCTGCCAGCAGAGGCTCGTCATTGGGAGGGTTCGATAATATCAAAGCCAAAAGACTCCAGCCTAGTGAAACCTGCCACCGGGGATGTGGCTTTTGGGCCTTCCATCGAGCTTGAGGAGCCAGCAGGACTCGCCCGCCTGGGTGTTGAATATTGGAAGAAGGGTCATGAGTAAAGGAGAAGATACATTGGTAAAGCAGTTTCTCTTGCGGGTGCAAGATCTTCCGGCACATGATGTCTATGTTTGCCCTCGAGGCCCTGATTTATTGATCGAATCTATCTTCATAGATAGCTATATTTGAATCCAATCATCAAAGGTACAGGAAGCGCTTAGTTCCCTACTACAAACCCCGCCAGAAGCTTTATTGTCTAAAGTGTTTACTTAAACCTGGTCTCGGTGTAAGTTGTATGAAACAGAAACTCAAACCAGAAGCAGGATTCCCCGCATGTCCCAAGCGATGGGCTAGCAGATCAAACAGGACCGATATAATATTCACAACCTGGTATGCCGTTACACATGAATCAGACAAACAGGGTGTCTTCAGGAATATTTAATTTAATTCTGCCGGCGCAACCGGTCCCCCGCCCCACGACCAATGGCCGTCGCCGTCCTTTCGCGACGGTGAGGTGAGGCCTACGCATTCCCCGGAAGTTGTCGCGCCGGCAGCCCCATCTTGATGCAACAGAAATGGTGTTCCCCGCAAAACAGCCAGGTGAAGGGGTCCTCCTGTCACCCTCCTTGGCTACAGTCAAAGGCGTCTCTCCTACGAACTAGCTATGCTGTCTCTTTGGGTGGATTCACGACTTCGTGATGTGACCACTGACTGCCAGCATGGGCGAGAAATGGGCTAAACCTCCTCGACATAGGAGAAGAATAAGACAGTTGATATGCGTCTTTGGGACTTGTCTCGTGTTATATTGCATTCTTTTTGTTTTCAGGACGCCGCAAGTCGACAGCCGGCACTCTACATTAGCTAGACTTGGGCACCGTTGGAGTCCAGATTTGCTGAAGAGTCTATCTCTGACCGAGCAACAATGCGAAGCTGCTTTTCCAGGTCTGACTTGGTCAATTAATGATGTCGGTTCTCAGGGCCCATTCAGACTTGACCCAGCAAACTCACTAGGACACCTTGTGGGCAGGATAAAGAATGGCAAGGTAAATCATTTGAGTATATCCTCAAGAGGGTGAGACTGATCTAAATTTCTTCTAGATCTATGTTATTAGTGCGCAAAGAAAGGTTGACTTGTCCCAAGAGATGCTGAATGTAAGCCGTCCGACTTCTCGTGTAGTCCTGCGCTAAGTTTGGCTTTCATAGTCTCGAACTTCTGCACTCCATCAGCTGCATCGCGCAATCATCACTTCTCCAGAGCCAGTACCCGATACTATCTTCGCCATCAATTTCCAGGATCAGCCCTTCGGCACAGCCTGGTCATACTCTCGCGCGGCGGACATAGAAGGCCGCTCCAAGAAGGCCGATGACCGTACGTTCCTCATGCCACACTTTTCCTTCTGGACATGGCAGCTTCCCTTTGTCGGCTCTGTAGAGCGTGGAGCAGCTGCCATAGATGCTATCGAAGACTCGTATAGTTCCTTCGCAGAAAAGATACCAAAGGCGATATGGCGCGGGACGACTTGGTTTAATAGCGTCCACAATCCCCGTCTGCGCGCAAATCTTCTCGCTACAGCCAAGGGAAAGGATTGGGCTGATGTTCAAGCCTTGGAGTGGAGAGGCAAGAACAACGCCACCAACGCACTCGCCATCGAGGATTTCTGCAGATATAAATACGTCTTGCACACCGAGGGCGTCACGTATAGTGGACGTTTCCAGTTCCTGCAGATGTGTGCGAGTGTCGTTATTACGCCGCCGATCGGCTGGATGCAACATACAACGCACCTGGTTAAGCCGTTGTTTAGCTCCTCGCTTGACTTCCCGCACCAGAGCTCGCATGCCAAGCCGGTGGGTGGGTCAGCAGACACGGCACGGCAGAGGTGGACTCCTTCGGAGAGGCTCCAGAAAACGTGGCCTATTCAATACCGGCCGGAAGAAGCGAATATTGTGTTTGTTGCTCCAGACTGGTCGGACCTCGAGGAGACCATTCTGTGGTTAGAAGCGCACCCGAAGGTGGCGGAGGGTATAGCTATGAGGCAACGGGAGCAGTTCGTAGGCGGGGGCTATTTCAGCCCTGCTGCAGAGACATGTTACTGGCGAGCTCTGGTGAGAGGCTGGAGTAATGTCGTCCAGATAGATCCGAAGGATTGGAAAGATTTCGAGGGGGTGTCGTATGAGCTGTTTAGCCTCAGGAATGGAGAATAAAGATTTTGACGTAGACTCGATGGATCTTGCAGAACATTTTATCGTCGACAAAGCCATGTCGATTCTGTAGACGCTGCTGTGGATTTTTCTGCTTTGTTGGCGCTCCTAGGCAGCCTCATTCAACGAGGAAGCCAATATCCGAGTTGTTGTTGGAACATCGAGTCTGGCTAATTTCGAGAGCAAGCAGACAGTAAGGCTGTTGTCTAAAGCTCCAATAATAATGAAATATCTTTTCTCGGCACACCCGAACCTAAACACCATTCTGTACCAGCCATATTAAGGATGTCATTAGAAATTATAAGTTCGTGACGCCTGGTGTCCACGTCTCTCCGATTCTACGCATGTCGACGGCAAACTTCTTGCTCGTGATCTTCTTGCCGCCCTGACCGGTCGGGGGCGAGTGTTCATCAGGGTCATAGAACGGATTCTGAAGTAGCCGAACATATGCCGTCTGCATTGCCTTAAAAACCTGGCCTTCCTGTTAGCCTTCATGAAGATTGCATTCCGGACGGTGTCAAGGCTTGTGGCACCTACTGTCTTCATTTCGCCCTCTCGTAGGCCAACCGCTGCAGCGCCCCTACTCGCTTTATCTGCAAGACCAGCAATACTTCCGTCGATACGTCGTCCGCGCATATCAACCACCACGACGAACTTGACCCCGGTGTTTGTCTCGAAGCCGTAGGCAGCCAGCCGCTCGTCTACGGCATGCAGTAGCCCAAAGTCACCGCTAAGCCCGACACCTGCAACTGCATTGTGTTTGGCGCGCAACTCGAAGATGTCCAGAGTGCTAGAGAGCAGGAGAGAGAACTGAAGCGGCGTTCGGATCGGTACCAGCTTATTCGTCGTGGGGTCGTGTGAAGGAAAGATGGAGATGTGAAGCGGATTATTCTGTACGCAATGATTAGTCTACCTGGCGCGTAGATGGGAAATAGACAGAGGTTTGGATATACATTACGGCCAATTATGCCAATGCAGGCTATTGAGGGTATCGCGGTGGCCATCGCTGGGTGAGTGCGTGGTGGATGGTAAGAAGCAGAGAAGCTGTCAACTGTACGATACGAGGGAGGTCATAGCTTTCAGGCTAGGACCCCTAGTCTCACATGCTCCCGCAGCTGGACACGCTGAGAAAATCAAACCCAACACCTTGAATAGCTTGAAAATTCGGGGCTGTTTCTCACGAGAAAAAAAAAGCATTGCTACTTATCATACCAATCAACCATGGAACAATAGTCTTTTGAAGGGTATTTGTAAGTCTGACAAATATATGTTATTAAGTTCTCGTACAAGCTCTCCCACGGATCAATGACTGTCACCTCTCTTCATGGTTCATCCCCTATAATCCTTTCTTCCTCTTCTAGAAGGGGATCTGTGTCTTCAAGTCCTCTTAGAACCTCGACGATGTCTGATGGGTCTGTGATAGCCCATACACCGCCGCCCTTGATGGCATCCGTGCCTCTCATGCCAACCTCTTTTCCCACAAGATTTCTCCCAACCTTCCCAGGGCCTATACCTATCCACCTCCTGACCTTTTCTTCTTGGTCGAGGTATTTTATACTGTCCCACCACCTCACAGTCTCCAGACATTGCCTGGAAAGCAGGTCTCTGACGTCTGCCTTACTTCCAAATGGTCTTGCGCTCACATTGCTCACACAGGGTATCTTCCCCGGGAATGTGATGATATCCTGATCCTCGCGACCCTTCACCCTGCTCTTCCCACTTAGAAGGGATTGCATCGTCGCCACCGCAGGTCTCATGATCGGGCTATGGAACGGGCTGTCACTGTTCAGCCTCACTGCGCGCGGATCGTGACCGAGAAACTGGCGCACATGGGCCACCAATGTCTTAATACGCTCTATATTCCCACTCAACACGAGCTGGTTCTTGCTGTTGATGTTGGCGATAAGCACTTGCTCAATGGGCGGGACGTCCTGACTGCTCTCGGACTTTGAACCCGCCGAGCTGTGACCAACGAAATCGTGTATAGCCTGGATGAGAGGCTCTAGGTAATTCGGCTCTGACACTATCGCCACCATGCCGTAGTCTCCGCCGTATTCGTCTCTCGCACGCTGGGTGCAGGCTGCCATAACCTCGGCACGCTTCTGCACTAGATATAGACTGTCCTGGAACTCGAGGAACCCGCCCGCAGTAAGAGCCGCGAACTCTCCTAGCGAGTGACCCAGTGTGATATCGATACGCTCGGGGACTTTGAAACAAAACTCCTCCTCGAGGATACGTAGAATGAGGACGGAGGTCGCCATGATGGCCGGCTGCGCATTCGGTGTTGCGGTCAGCACCTTCCCGGGCCCCTCTTGTATTATATTGCTGAGTTTATAGCCCATTAGGTCGTCGATCTCTTCGATGATGGGCTTCGCTGTGCGTGGGAAGGCCTCGAGCCATGGAGTGAGCATGCCAACTTTCTGGACGCCTTGGCCTGAATCATCGCCATTGTCAGTCTCACTCGCAACGACATTGACGAGTGGAGCAATGTCCTGCTCACGGCAAGGGTTCGCCTACCTGGAAAGAAGATGGCCGTCTTCGGCCGTGTCGCACTGGTCGAGACATGACGTCGATGGTGGATGTAACTGCTTCCCCCAACAGTCCGGACTACCTTCGTGTCATCGTGTACACGGCAGCTGCCGCGAAAGCTCAGCAATGCGCGGCGAGGACCGCGCGAGCAAGCAGCAAGTGTTCTCATCGCCGTCTGCCAGCCAGAGCAAGCAAGCTACGGCGATTCGTCGTCCTGCTCATCAGCAGCTCATGACATGCGAGACCAGTCAGCAGGGTCCGGTGTCGAATTGCAGAGAGCAATGGTGGGTTCAAGAGGCGAAGCAGCCGCTGGAAAGCGTCACCGGAGGGGCATTACAGGGGCGCCCCATAGTGTGTGGAGGAAGCTGGGCAAGCTGGGGTATTCCCACAGCCGAAGTCCCGAACTACCGCGTTAGAGCGTGTTTCTGCTTTTCCGCTGGCCCTTGCACTGATCAACTCTCTGGGTTTCTTTCACCATGACAGTTCTACAGTACATGCAACTCCACATATCACAGTATAGTTCGATAATTGTTTTAATGTTACAAACAGGACTTTCTGATAACATTTCATCACTATGTACAAGCTTTTGACTATGAACGTCTTGGTCCTTGCAATTGCGATCATCCATCAAGTGTTGGCGGACCGATGATGAGACTTGCGCCTTCTTAATTGGCGACATCGAATTCAAAAGCCCAGGCAGTGTGGTTATCTGTCTGGTAAATAGGGAATGTGAGCGTGTTGCCACTGTATGTGTGCGAGACCGTGTTCCTGAAGGTCGGCGGACCTGTGACCTTGAATGGGTCAAACGGATCATCCCCAATGAAGCCCCAGGTGTCGATCGATACGGATCCAGACGAGGGCAGACCGATCGCCTCGAGATTGTTGACTTGGATGGCCCACGTTCCAATTTTTACTTTGCTTCCGGAAAGGATGCGGACTCTGTCGCCCACTGTCGCATAGACATCGAACCATGTGTCCGTGGAGCCGGTCGTAGCGACCCGGTGGCCAGTCATGTTCTGGGCATAGTAGCGATAAACCCAGTACCCGGGAGCAGCTGCGTAGTCCGTAGCTGTGTAAACGGTGGGATCCGACTTCTTCGTAAGCAAGTTTGCAAATAAGTCGTGCAAGACGGTTCCTCCCTGCCAGTTGCCCAGAAGGCCCCAGAAATTATACCGCTCGAGGCGGCTGATCCACCAGGCATAGCCTGCTGGCATCATTTCCGAATATTCTGCATACTCATTGATGTTGACCTCACGGCTAGGTAGGCCATACTGCTTTTGAAGGGCACTCAGAGATGCGTTGGTGTATTGAGGGTCATTGTCCGCCTCGCTCAATGTTCCTTCCAAGTGATAGGAGTATTGGTCAGGGGCTGTATTGTTTCCAGCAATTTGTTTAAGCCAGGTTGTCCACCACGCATTGCTAGCCATTGGGCGAAATGCTAGACTAGGTCCGCTGATCTTGACCTTGTTAAAACGCGAGTCCGCACTGTCAAGCGTGTTAGCCGTGGGGATTCAGCGGCACTGATGGCACATGGCTTACCGAATGATCTTGTGCGTTCTGATATACAGGTCGACCCACTGCTGCAAACTTCTTTCCCAGAAGATGCTTATGTCGGGCTCATTCCATACATCATAGACAAGACCGTCTAGGGCATTGTTGGCAGCCAAGTCGTTCAGTAGCTTTTTCACAAAAGCATCATAGTCTGCCCAGTTCCCATTGTCTCCAGGCCAAACAGTCGAAGAATTCACATGATCGGTGCCCCAGATATCGTGCGGCAAGATGATGAAGCTCGCGCCGTACTTGCGGGATGTCCGATAGTTGGACAGTGTGGACTGGAGACGTCCGTTGTACTCTGTCGGTCCCCAAATCCAACCTCTGTTTGGAGCATCCAGCTGGGCTCCACCAGCTCGACCGTACTGGAAGTCGATATCCGTATACCTGAGGCTTGAATTAACGAATGTCCTACGTAGATGGTGCAAGCTTACCAGTGATCTGGGACTTGATTCTCCTTGTCTGGAATCCCATAGATGAAGCCTGAAGCAAGATGTTGGGGAGTTCCTTTGGATGTCCCAAGGTCTACTACGGCTGTAATCGAATCCCGCTTGCTCAACGGGCCAGCCACAGCGCCAGTCAGAAGAAGCGACAGCGACAGTAAGGAGTACATAGCGACTGAAATCCTGAGGCTGCCGGTTGCCTTACTCTGGGGAGAGGAACAGGCTCATTGATCAAGTCCTCTTGTTGTTTAAATAAACCATCGCCGCGGTCATTCCGGTGGAGAACCAGTCAAGTCACAACACTGATGTATATTGTAGCGATCGTCCGTCCTTCGTAGCATCGATGGCAAGCATCTTACATAGACATGCAAGGGCAGGTGCGGAGAGCAGGGTCCTACGTAGTGCAGAACCGTGTCCTGTCGACATCACGAAATGATGCCATTTGTTGACGGAACAGGATTGTACATTTCTCCACAAATGTCGAGCTGTGGCTACAGCTCCACATTGGGGTACCCCATCAATCGTCTAGAGACAGTTGACTTCCAGATGAAAAACAAGTTATAATCGTGATTGTTTGTGATAACTCCCTGCTAGACTTCTCCAATTAGCAGGAAAATTAGACGATCAACCCTACACCAATCAACATCTACGATCCCAGAGATTCACATTTTCTAATAGATGGCCAAAAGAAGTCGTGTCCTTTCATTGTCATAACATATTAGTCGTAGCACAGGTAGCTTTCGGACTTGAAATGGTCGGGAATACAAGCTCGTGTCGATGGCGAGGTCTGGAAACCGCCTCGTGATTCGTCCTCCCACCGGAGTTTCTGTCTCCAGCAAGTCCACCTCGTTCATTACTGCAGTTTCCCCGCGCTCTTCCCCACAATGGTGCCATCCCCCGTTAGTCAGTCATTTCTACCACCTCCAACAATATGCCATGTGCTTGGAATCCAGAGCCGCACCAACAAGTGAAGAGAAGCGTGCGGAGGATCTGCACGGTGACACGGCACCCCATCCAGTCAGGTCGTCAAGCCGTCCGGCACTTGGCACCATCTAACCCCTGCCACTCCCACCGGAGTTGCAATGTAAGCCGCGGAAGCTCGACTGGATTGTCTATAATGCTATAAGTTATCGGCAGAGGTTCTCTCTTCGGAGCATGGCTTCGGCAAAGAGAAGTCCGTCATCAATCTTTGGTAACAAGAGTCCTCACTTTGATTATCGGAAGTGATTAGACTCCAATCTTTCAAGATGGGTTTCATGGAAAAATTCCTGCCGGCAAACGACCGCTATGCAGCACTTTTGCTGTATAGTATGGTATTTAGCTTGGCTTTCAACGGATATGATGCTGGTATCATGACAGTCATCTTGGCAGACAAACAGGTAAGCCCACAAAAGAACAAGTTAGGGTTGAACTCACAACAGCCTAGTTCGTTGAATACTACCATGTCGACTCAAATAGAACTGGTGTCATTGCGACAATACCATGGGCAAGCACTGGGTTGGCTCAACTGTTTCTTGGCGGAACCCTTGCAAATTTGCTTGGGCGACTTTGGGCTCTTCGAGTTTCGATCACTGTCAGTGGACGTACGCGTATGGTTATTTGGATTTGACAGACTAACCGGGGATCAGATTATGATTATTGGAGTCGTCGTACAGGTGATTCCAAACACATATGGTGTCCTCATCCTTGGTCGATTATTGACGTAAGTGATTCGGCACTGGTTATCAGATCGAGTTGCTCATTGGTAACCTTAGGGGTCTCGGCTTCGGTTGCGTTTATATTTCTACTAGTCTTTATGGTAAGCTCGGTTGTTCCTTTGCTTTAGATATGTACTCATCAGTCGTAGTCGCAGAGTGCTCTCCGAAGACCTTGCGAGGCTCCTTTGTCGGAACTGTAACTCAGTTTGGGTATCAACTCGGAACACTGATTGCATTTTGGTCCGGTTACGGCATGTCATTTCACACATCCCCTTTTAACATTGCCTGGAGAGTCTCAAATGTCATCCAAATTCCCATCGGCGTAGCCTTTATTATCATATCCTTCTGGTACCCTGAGTCACCAAGATGGCTCTACGAGAAACATCCGGACGACCCAGATCGTTGCTTGAATACACTGTGCAAGCTTAGGATGGGTACCCCCGAGTCGGATCATGTTCGACAAGAGTTTCACGATATCGTTTCGTCGTACGAGTATCGAAAGAAGTTTGAAACGGGATATACGGGAATTTTCAAGTCTAAAGGACTTCGAAAGCGTCTGCTATACGGACTGTACGCCACAGCTTTGCAGTAAGTTTCAAAACCACAAAACTAAATCTTCAGAATTGACAGGGCATGTTTAGACAAGCTGGCGGCATTGCTGCTCTAACGATGTACGCAGCTATTGTAAGTGATGGCCATTGTTGACCTGACGGTCAATCCAGTCCTTGTCCTGACTGCGTTATTAGATTTACGAATCTCTCGGGTGGAACTCAGGACATCAAGCTTTAGCGATCAACGGCGTGCAGTCCGTCTTGCAGCTGTTTATCGTTTTGGTCAATACATTCACCGTCGATCGCTTTGGTCGCCGATCGCTTCTCATCGCCGGTTTCTCAATACAGGCACTTGCTTTATTGATCATGTCAAGTCTTACCACCGCCTTTCCGGACAACGACAACAAGGCAGCGGCTGTTGTCGAAGTCGCCATGTTATTCATCGTCGGGCTAACATACTGCTGGTCGAATGGTCCCATAGCTCCTGCCGTGGCATCCGAGATCTTTCCTCAGGAAGTCAGAGATAAGGCATTTGGTATCTCACTTCTAGGCCAGACAGTCTGTTTGCTTGCTCTTACGCAGCCATGGCCTAGATTCACGAGCGAGGTTGGAGGGAAGAGCTATTGGCTCCTATTCGGCCTCAATACAATGTGCCTAGTCTCTGTGATATTCATACTACCAGAAACAAAAGGCGTATCGTTAGAGAGGATGGACAAGATCTTTGGCGGTGTAGACGCCGTTGCAGCTGGAGAGGAGGAAGGTGCAGCTGACAAGATCGAAGTGATGGCTTATTCACATGCGGAGCACACCGGCGAAGTGGCTGATCATCCAGGCCCCCAACCATCTGAGAAGACTGTTTGAGCATCCGTGAGGAATATTTCTATCGTCCCCTTTCTTTTAATCCATGGGAGGGATAGCACATAGAATGATAGCTTTAATGGTTTATATGTCTACTGTGACTCGCGATCGCTTATGAAGAGTGTTTCTGGGCAAAGCTATCTACTTCGACTTTGTTTTGGGAGAAAACCTGTAGATTTCCCAAATCTAGTCCATATGGCAAAATAAAATAGCTACTTTGAAAAGGCATGGCTGCATGTCATTAATGTGGAAATCGCGATGCTATAATGCTACATTCAGAGTTGCGTGCCAAAACCACGGTTTCACTAGTATAGGAAACGAAACTGGTTAAGAAACAGTGTTGGAACTGTCACAATTCACCATGTAGGATCGAGTCGGATAAATCTATAATGTAGTGGTTATTCTACTCATAAACAATGCTTTAAAAACTTCAAAACGTACTGCTATTTTGACCAAGCAACCTTGAGGACCGAATATGCCCTCAACAGAGTACCATTAACTAAAAATGACGAGAAATCACAAAATCGAAATTAATGAGTTATGCTACACCCGCTTCAGGCGATGCCTGCAATTAAAATAACGGACGGGCACCCATGACGCGTAGATAAGGTAGGCCACAACAAACATGTTAGCTAAGACCAAAATGGCAGTTACCTCACACCGTTAAACTTGGATGGCATACCAAAGCCGTTAGGATTTCCAGGGCTCTGATGCAGGTCCGAGTGAAAAGCTAGACTAAAACGGAAATGGAATGACAGTTGACATTTGATATTACCCAGAAAGTAAGAGGTCGCAAATATTGCATACAACATGGGTAAGTCTACCAATTCTGAGGAGATGATCAGTCTCAGATATAAATACGATCTTAAGTCCTATTAAGCACCTGGAAACGCCCGACAAGATAATCAGTGTAAAGAGATGGTTCTATTGGACCAGTAACAAATGCATCGCGCTTCACGTAATGAGAAGTTCCAGCACTGCTTCTGCGAACAGTATTTGACGCCGCTCTTATCTAATCGTGAATAAAATAGTCAACGAGACACTAGGGTGTCGTGCCGTTGAGCCGCATTCCTTGTCACAAACAAGCAATCTTGGCACTGAGATAAGTTAGTTACAAAACTGTGCCGCACTATTGAATGCAGGACCCTGAACTCCTTGTTCTTTGCTATCAAACTCGAACTTAGTCCTGTGAGTCTTTCGCAGATGTGGTTGTCTAAGCGTTATTGGTATTTAGTTGCTCGTTGTAACTAACGCCGAGCGCTCAAACTCTTTTCTCCTCGTGAGCTCCAACCATCTTCATTGGGAAGGTCGACAAAGAACATTATCGACGGACGTCGCCGTTGCAGTATGTCTAACTCTAGATCTGCGTAGTTTTGAGCGCCATGACGAGTACAATCCAAAGAAGAAGGTGGCATGGCAGAAAGCCTACATCACCAGGAAATCCTAGAAGAAAAGATGCTGGAAGGGGAGACTTCTTGTGCTGTTGGAAACAGCGAACATATAGAAGGTAGCTGCCTCTTGATGGCTTGTGGTGGGTAATGCTGAGATGGGGCAATCTCGCCCATTTCAAGTCTGTTTCTGTTTGCCCCGGCGATGGCCATGCTCCTCTCACGCCTTCTAGTTGTTGCATTTGCATTCACCGCTGGGAAAGCATTCAAGTTCGAGTCTAATACAAAGGCGCCGAAAATTGTCGAGGGGGCATATATTGTCCAATTGAAGAGCAACGATCTCCTGTCAAAGCGCTCAGGCTATGCCAGTTCGGCACACGAAGCCTTCCACATGGAAGCCGCGTCACAGTTCGACTACACTGTACGCCGGCAGTATGCGACTTCGAAACTGTTCCATGGCTTGTCTATTGATGTGCAGGCCAATGATACAGCGGCCACAGTCGAAGCTGAACTGAATGCCATTGATTCAGTTGAGAAGGTCTGGCCCGTGGTTGAATATGAGAGGCTTGCGCCGGATGGGAAACGGCGACGATGCGTACCACGGCCGAAGTCTTCCAGTACTTCAACTATCTCTAGTATAGCAAGTAGCACTAGCATCAGCACCATTGCCGACTCTCATACTGCGACATCCACTGGCTCTTCAATATTACCGAAAGTTACAGGAACTAGTGATGTGCTCTCGTTCCTTGAGATGTCTGATATTGACAAGCTCCATGCGCTTGGAATCAAAGGCAAGGGCGTGAAAATTGGCATCATTGACACAGGGGTGGACTACCGACATCCATCCCTCGGGGGTGGATTTGGCCCAGGTTATAAGATCGCTGGTGGTTATGCTTATAGGGATGATACTGGAAAGAGTGTGTCCGTTGCAGACCCTCTGGCGACATGTATGGCTGGTGGTCACGGTACACATGTCGCGGGTATTATTGGCATGGAAGATCCTGAGGATATGGGATTTGGGCTGATAGGAGTTGCTCCAGAGGCTGAGATCTACATGTATAGGGTATTTGGTTGCACCAATTCTGCAACTACTGACGACATACTCGCGGCAATGGAACAAGCCCACACTGACGGCGTCGATTTAATCAATCTCTCACTTGGCTCGGTCGAGTACTGGCAGTGGGCTGGTAAGCAACCCCTCAAGTTCATTTCACATCTTTTAGCCATGTTTCTGGTAGCGGAGGCAAAGACACAGTCTCAAGCTGGAGAGTTACACCCGAGATATCTCTATTCAGCATTTCCCTA